GGAATAGACTTCCAGGAAATCCAGGAAGCTCAGAGAGTCCCAAAGAAGTTGGACCCAAGAAGGAACACACCAAGGCACATCATCATTACATTAGCCAAGATTCAAATGAAGGAGAGAATCCTAGAAGCAGCAAGAGATAAGGGGACAGTCACCTACAAAGGAGCTTTCATCAGACTGTCAGCTGATTTGTCCAAAGAGACCTTACAGGCAAGAAGGGGCTGGAAAGAAGTATTCCAAGTCATGAAAACCAAAGACCTACAACCAAGATTGCTCTATCCAGCAAAACTTTCATTTAGAATGGAAGGACAGATAAAGTGCTTCTCAGATATGATCAAATTCAAGGAGTTCCTCATCACCAAGCCCTTATTATATGAAATGTTAAAGGGACTTATCTAAGAAAAAGAAGATAAAAATATGAACAGTGAAACGACAGCAAACTCACAGTTATTAACAGCCACACCTAAAACAAAAGCAAACTAAAAGGACAGCTAGATCAGGTGTGGAACCATAGAAATGAAGATCACATGAAGGGTTAGCAACAGGGGAGTGGGAGGAGGAGAAGGGGGGAGAAGGTACAGAGAACAAGTAGCATAGACAATAGGTAGAAAATAAACAGGGGGGAGGGCAAAAGTAGTATGGGAAATATAGAATCTAAAGAACTTGAGACACATGGACACAAACTAAAGGGGGGGAATGGTGGGGGAGAGGTGTGCAGGGTGGAGGGGAATGAAGGGGGGGAATAGGACAACTGTAATGGCATAATCAATAAAATATATTTTAAAAAAAGAAATGCCACTCTGGTCCAAGGTGACATTTTGACTATATTGAGTAGGGTTATGACACTTCATAATGTAAGTTCAAAAATGTATGATGCTCCCTAGAGACCCTTGATTTTATTAAACCAACACATCTGAGGCTGCACTGTGCATCACGCAGGCTCTGTGCTGGGGGCTGGGCAGTGAAAGTAACAGAGGCAGGATTTCTATTTTCACAAAGCTCTCAGGCTATTCAAATTATTGATACAACCAAGTAATGGCATGCAAAAATTACACAAGATACTGATAGGAACATACAAGAAAGAGCATTATATTTGTACAGGAGTTCCTGGAACAAAGCAGTGCCCATGCCTCCTGGAATAGAAATTTTTCCTGACGGAGAAATGGGGAGAGCTGAGAAGGAGCCTAAACAGAGGGTGGTATGAAAGTGTAGGCTGGATGCATACAGGTTCTTTGTACTTTTGTTATAAGACTGCTGACAAAAGTCCAGTGAAGTTTCATGAACCAACTTCAGTCCTTCCTGCTGCTGAGGGAGTCACAAGCTGGGGTTAGAGACAGAACATTGTGGCCAAAGAGTCATCTGCACACCTCTGAATCCCAGCCTGCTGCCACACAAGGATCACTGCACCTCTTTTCCCTGGGTTCCCTTGGCACACCCTGAGAAGGGACATCAGGGGCTGCTGAAACACATGGATTTGCTCTTGGGACCATGCGTGACTGCAGGGATGTCACCCTCTTCTCCAGCTTACCTTGTATTCTGCAGGGTGGACACGTCAGTGTTGAGGGAAGAGAGTTTGCTTTTCAAAATGCAGAGCGTCATCAGAAAGGAAGCCAGATTGACCTTCGGGAACACAGAGGGTTAGTGAATAAACTTTTAATTTGTTACCTCTAGCCTAGCCTGTCCAACAGCAATTCCACACTTCAGTGGTTTTCATGCTTAGTAACAGTGTCAGAGTTTGTAGTTTTAGGAGCAGTTTTAGAAAACCAAAGCAACCCTATCAGAATCCAGGAAAATTCCTGCTCCTGTCATTCCCCCCACACCCTTAGAATTCTGCTCTTCTAATGACCCTCAGCTGAGCGTTAAAGATTCTCTGACGTCATCACACGGGTGCAAGGAAGCTCCACAGAAATCCATTTGTTGTGCTTAGCCAGCAGCTGAAAAAGAGAGAGAATTAAAAATGCATCAGTCCTTAGAAATATAGAACAATTATGTAAATCCATCCACTAATTCATTCATCAACAAATATTGAGTGTCTCCTCAGTGATAGGCTCTGTGTCTGGCTCTGAGCATTCAGTCATGAAGAAAATAAACATGGTCTTAAATCCCACACATCTCTTGTCAAGCAGGAGAAAGGCAGACACACTGCAACTACAAAACGAAATGGGTGGCTAAGAGAATGTTTCATTGGATGTCACTCTTAGTTTTGGGTCTAGGAAATTAGGATGTTTTGGGAAGATTCCACAAAGATATATTATTTGAGCTGAGATTAGAGCAATGAGTGGATGTTACTGAGATTGTGTTCACGCACAGGAGAAGTCTGTATTTGTGTCAACAGTTTTTAAGAGTCCTGTGAATCTCACATGACTTTAAGGGCTGTTCCTGCCCTTGTCAATATAATTCTTTTCATCTGCTGCAAAGCCTATCTACTGAACATTTTTAATTATGGTTTTTTTGAGATGTATTTCACCCATTTACACTGCACTGTTCAGAGACCTTTGAAATAGATTTGTGTGACATCACAATCTCACTTTAGAAAGTTGTCAACTCCTCAAAAAATTCACATTAGCAGTCAGTCCTCATTCCTGCTTCCATGCACCTCACCACCCACCACAGCTCCACAACAAAATTGCTCTACTGTCTGTCTCCATGGACGTGCCTGTTCCAGACATAAATGGAACCATACAATATGTGGTCTTTTATGACTGGATTCTGTAACCTAGCCTAATGGCTTTCAATCAAGGTTCACCATGTTGCTGCATGTTTTTATGGCTGAATAGTATTTTTAATTTTTTTAATGGCTAAGCAATATTTTTACATAGATATGCCATTCTTTTATTCATTCATCAATTGATGGGCATTTATTGTGTTTTTAATTTCTGGCTATTTTGAATAATGCTGCTGTGAGCATTAGTGTACAAGCTTTTGTGTGGACATGTGTTTCCATTTGCTTTGGGTTTATACCTAGGAATGGAATTGCTGGATCAAGTGGTAGGCATGTGCCTTCAACCTCTAAGAAACTATCAAACCATTTTCCAAAGTGGCTGGACTATTTTACATTCCAATGAGGAATGCATGAGGGTTTAAACTTTCCTACATCCTTGTAATAATTTTTATTCTCTGTATTTTTATTTTGACCATTTTACCTAATTGCTATGAAGTGACCTCATTTTGATGTTTTTTATTTTCATTTTCTTAGTGACTAATGAAGTTAGCATCTGATCATGCCCTGACTGCTCATTCATGTTTCTTGTCAGAAATGTCTATTCAAACATATTGTCCATTTTTTAATTGGGTTGTATTATTGTTGAGTTAGTTCACATGATTTTAACAACAATGCACAACAGTTCTTACATGATTACAGGTTGGTAACAGAAGCACAAAGGGCTTAAGTCTATTGCTCAAGGTTTTACTGATAAATGGAGTTAGAATTCACTGTTGATCCAGCATTAGGGTAATGCACAGGGGTGGGGAAGAGGAGGTTTACAGTTGTGTGTACGTGAAACACAGAGTTTATTCTGGTAATGTTATTTACTAATTATTTTATTACATTCCATACAAACAACGGTTAATATACTTTTTCCCACCCATATATAGAGTAAGGCAAGACATTTAGAATGGTGAAATATACACTGAGAATAATGCAAGCAAGAGAGAATGGAAGCATTTTCCTAACAGCTAGTGAAGTTGAGCATCTGTTCATATATCTGTTGGCAAATTGTATTTCTTGGGACAAGTATCTGTTCAGATCCTCTGCCCATTTTTTAGCTGATTTGTTTGTTTTTTGTTGTTGTTGTTCTGTTGTATGAGTTCCTTATTTTTTATATTAACCCCTTATCCCAGATTTTCTTTGCAAATACCTTCTCCCACTCAGTGAGTTACCTTTGGGTAGCTCCCTGAAAGCATTTTTATTCACAAAGATATATATATTTCCATGTTCACTGAAGTATTACTCCTGGTGGACAAGACATAGAAACAACCAAAGTGTCCTTTGATAGATGGTTGAATAAAGATGTGGTACTTACGTAGAGTGGAACACTACTCAACCACAAAAAAGACAAAGTACTGTATTTGCAGCAACATAGATGGATCTTGCAATAATCATGCTAAGCAAAATAATTCAGACAGAAAAAGTCAAGAATGATTTCACTCATAGGTGGAATACAAAACCGAAAGCAACAAATGAACAAACAAACCAACAAAGATTCATAGACACAGACAACAGGATGGTGGTGACCAGAAAGGGGATGGCAAGAGGTAGTAAGGGTAAAGGTGGTCAAATATAGGGTGATGGAAGGAGATTAGACTTTGGGTGGTAAACACACAATGCAATATACAGTTGATATATCAGAGAACTGTACATTTGAAACATATATAATATTATTAACCAATTCACTACAATAAATTTAATTTAAAAAGCCTTTTAAACTTGTATGTGTATGTTTATAGTGACACCTTTCATAGTAGTTACAAATGGAAACAATCCAAATGTTTATCAACTGATGGATGGATAAGACTAGGTGGAATATCTATGTAATGGGATATTATTTACAAACAACACCAGCAACAACAACAACAAAGAATGATGTCATGGTACCTCATACAACATGAACATTGAACACATCATGCTAGGTGAAAGAATCCCATCACCAAATATGATATCTATGATTTCATTTATGGAAAATATCCAAGATAGGCAGGTCCATGGAGATTACTGGTTATCAGGGGTTGGAGTGATGTTTCTTCTGGGGAAGTTGAAAATGCTCTGAAATTGATTGTGGTACTTGCTGCACTACTCTGTGATTATTGCCAAAACCACTGATCTGTACTCTTTAACGGAGTAAATTTTATGGTATTTGAAATACATTTCAAATGTAAGTAAAACATTAAACCTAGAAAGCTGAATATAAGAGAGTGGAGCTCTGGAGCTTGACTCCCTGGATTGAATTCCAGCTCTGCTGCTTACTAGCTGAAATACCTTTGGGCATTTACTTAAAACTATTTTTGCCTCAATTTTCTCATCTGTAAAATGGATCAAATCACAGTGCCTACTTTACAGTACTGTGTGAGGATGAATTGTGTTGACCAATATAAAACCAGCTAGAAAAATGCCTGACACAGAGTAAGCACCATGTAAATCTCAACTGTGATACAATCTTTTCTTCAGATTATTTAATCATCTCTACTTCACCATATATAAAATTGGAATATCTTATAGGATTTCAATAAAGAGGAAGGTTAAATTGTTTATAATGGTAATCAAAGCACTATTTTAAATTATACCTTTGTTGTTTCAAGGAGAGGTTTGAAGACATTTTCCTTATTATTATAAATAGCCAACAGAAAGATGCCCTAAGAAGTAATCTTGTTGTCTCTATTAATATGATCTGGCATAATCAAATGCTACATTGGTTTTACAAAGGCCAGAGACATGGTGAAGAAGATAAAAAAGTCAGAACTTGCCCTTACTGGGCAGCTGTTCCATAAAGGTGAGGCCTGGATATGGCAGAAGTGGACACAATGACAGCCAGGACTCCATAGCCCACAGGAAACATGAACTTCTTCATGAACCTGCTCACACTGGAGTAGTTGACCACCATCAGGTTGCATGCAGTGAGGAAGAGGTGTAGGCCCTCCAGCAGCATCCAGATGAAGGAGACCAGGTAGAGGTAGTGTAAGGCACCAGCAATGATGGCACACAGCACCTGGGGGAGAACTCAGACTCACAAGGTAGGATTGTCAGGGGGAGCATGGCCCCAGGACCTGTCCTATGCCTTTCCATTGAAAAGACCTCTGTTGTATATGATGGAATTGTCAAAAGAGGGTGTGTCTGCTGGTTGGGTTCAGTCAGTGTGAACCTCCCCTCTAAACTTCCCAGAACCCAAGGACATTTTATTAAGGGGTTACAGATGGCACCCTGAACTCCACATTCTATGACAGGTCAGAGGGTTCTTTGGGACAGCATCACTACTCTGTGTTCTGTTCTGTCGATGGGCGTGAGGAAGAGCAGGTGGGCCAGGAAGAGGCAGATGCAGAGCTGCAGGTGGAGGGAGGTGCTGGTGTTCTGGATGGCTTTGCACAGCAGGAAGGTGAGGGCCACCAGGAGGAGGCACAGCAGAGAGAGGCTCAGCCCCACATTGGTGATCACACTCAGGGTGGAATAACTCTGCTGGGACCCAGCAAGAAGGAGATATCAGTCAAAGTTTCCTGCTCTGTGGTAATGACCCTTCCACCATTTTTAGGGTTTTTTGGAGGGTAAGGTACAACAAAATTAGGAATGTAGGAACCAGGTAAATGTGTGATGTTACGGATACTTTTAGAATTTTCTGAACTGATTAATTCAATCCTGGAAACAGAGATATGGGAGAGTCCTCACTCAAGACCAAGCCCTGGAATTCACAGGGTTCATTTTTCTTTAGACATCTGGGTATGAATGACTAAGTGGTAGGTGACCATGTGAGGGTCACAGAGGTGCACAGCTTCAGGTTACTGTGTGACCGAGTCCTTACCTGGAGACTCAATGTCCAAGGATCAACTCCCCACCCCAGACTCACTCACCTCATCCCTGGAACACCTCTTCCTCACGCTGAGATCCTTGGTTGAAGAAGAAAAAGTACTATGCTCTGATGCTTTGTTTTTAAAGATTAAATTTTTCCCTGCCTCTTTTTTCAAATCATCTTAAATCCATGAGGAGAATGAAAAATATTAATTATAGTGTAAGTGACAGAAAGAAAGAGGCAGGGGGAGAAAAACAGAAATGTGAAAATGATTTTTAAAATGGAGGTAAAATGTTTAACGTAGTATTGACAGTTTGTTTCATTTGTTTTTTAAACTTAATTTCATACGTTCATGACAGTACCACAAAGAAGCAAGAATGATCGCCCAGTGTGGAGCTATTAGCCCTGGAACGGGGAGGAGCAGGCAGGGCCCAGCCTGGGGCAGACTGCATTACTTCCCTGTTTCTGTGGTTGTGCTGAAGGTTGATGGCCCCTTGGGCAGGCTCTTGCTTGACTCTCTCAGGACCTGCTCCTGGCCAGTGAGCATGCTCAGGCATGGGTGGTCAGGGGGCACTAGCTGGAATAGGGCCTCTGGCATCAGGCCACAATATTTAATTGTTGGGTCACAGGGAGGTGGCCTGTGGGTCCCAGAGAGAGGACCGGGGTGGGGGGGGCATGCAGCATGGGCCCACCTGGGCTGTGCAACCATCCAGAACCAGTTGGGCCATATCATCAAGAACCAGCTGCTTGTCTCAGCTGAGCTGGCCTTTTATCTGTGGGCTTTGAGGGCGGCCCTGGGCTGCTCACCTCCACATCATAGTGGGCCATGAGGATCGCAAAACTGCTCAGGTGGCTGCATCGGCAGGTGGTACTGCCGTTCCTGCTGCCCACCTTCCAGCAGCCTGTGGTGGCCCACCACTGTCGTTGTCACCCTTCCAGAAGGCACAGATTAGCTCCTGCCGTGACCAGGGCTCGCCTCCTGTGGGCAGGTGGGGGTGGTCAGAGATGTTAGCCTAGAGCTCGCTCCTGGGTTCTGAGCTTGGGCTGGGTCTGAGAAAGGGCTGTTGTGCATTGACAAGTATTTACTACACACCTACTGTGTGTGCCAGCCAGGGGCGCAGCACAGAATAGAGCAGACACAAGACCCTGCCCTTGTGTAGCTGTTATGCTCATGGAGAGATAGGATATATAGTAAACCTAATAGATAAGTAAACTAGATGGTGTGGTAAAAGGTGATCGGCACTATTTTTTTTTTTAAAAAGGAGCAGGAATGGAGAAATGTAGGGCATGATTGATTACAGATTCTAAGTTTAAATAAGGAGGCCAGGGAGGGCCTAAAAGAGAAGATGGCATTAGAACAAAGACAAGAAACAGGTAAAGGGCTGAGTCATGTGTGGGAAAGCTGTCCAAGTCAGAGAGCACAGGAAGAGCAAAGGCCCTGGGGTACATAAAAGAAGCAGCAGAATGGGCAGATGTGGGGAAATGGAGACTCTGGTGGGGCCACCATGACATTGCCTATGGGGTGAACAGTGGGACTGATCCCCCCTCCCCCATCCAAGGACTCACAGAGTAGGAGAAGTAGAAGTTGGCAGGGGAGCCTAGTTTCTCCGTGTTCTTGTTGCTCAGAAAGACCGTGTTGACAGCGGACAGGAGCCTGGGCTGGCCACCACCAACAGAACCTCCATGTGTGTTTTCCAGCTGGGCTTTCTTCTCAAGGTCCAGCTTCAGTGTAGCATTAGCCAGAAATTTCTGCATGTTGTGGCTGGAGAATAGCCTGCCAGGGTGGGGCCTGAGGGACAGACAGGCTGGATGCCTTCTTCCACCCTCCTTCCTCCCCACTAAGAAGTATAAATTTGGCATTTCCAATTGTTATGTGTTTGGAACCTCACCCCTAGCCACACCCAGCTCTTTCTTCCTTCTCCCAGGCACCCTCTCTGGCTCCCTGCTGTTACTGGGCTCCCTGACTTCAGCTGCCTCAGCCCAGTTTAGCTGCATCTGTGCATGCTTCTGGCCAAGGTGACAGTTCCATTCCCTTGCTCCTGGATCATCAGGGACAGCTCTGAGGGGAGAGGGGCAGTGACTGGGGGCTTCAGTTGCAGGGTGGGTCCCAGAGCTGGGTCAAGGCAGGGCAGGAAGAGTCCTCACCTGTGACTGAATGGAAATGGTAGGTGGAGGGGGATTCAGGTATGGTCTTAGCCAGGGTCCTCAGGACTTCTTCCAGGTACAACAGCAGGTAGGTGGCCACACGGTGCCGGTCAGGCAGGGTCAGGGCCTCCAGGTCCCCAGACCCTTCCAGTAGCTCATCCAATGCCTTGATAACATACTGGGGGTGAGGGGTGACAGCTTCTGGGTCACTGCACCACAGGAACCTCCCAAAAAACCTGATCTCACTCCCTCAAGAGGGGACATACCAGAGAACCACCCAGGGTGACTGGGGGACAGGCACAAGGGGATCATGGAAACACAGCAGTAGCCAGAAGATAAGTAGGGGAGTGAGTGGATGTCTGTGAGCACCTGAAACAATGGCTCTTAACATTTATCAGTCCCTGAGGTTCTGCCAGAGACTGTTGTCAGCCTGCGCTGTCCAGGACAATCGCCATGAGCCACGTGTGGTGCCATGTTGAAGTGGTAATATTTCTAATGTATTGGGTTAAATGCAACCTTCACATTAATTTCACTTGTTTACTTGTATTTTTTTAAATAAAGCTACTGGAAAATTCGAACTGACATAAGTGGCTCATATATTTCTTCCAGGCTAAATGCATATGCTAAAACTGACATCTAATGCTAACTGTGTGCCAGGCAGGCATCTCTGAGCCCTCTCTTAGTTCACTCAATCCTTCACAACCGCTGCATGAAGGAGGCTGAGCCCCACTCAGGGGGAATCACTTGCCTGAGGTCACAACAGAAAGGGCGGTGGAGATTGGAACCTTTGTGGCTCGGCTCCAGAGGCAAAATCCTCCCTTGCTCCATTCTGTAGCCATTAGATCCCTCTTGAGTGTGAATGTGCATGTGAGGGCCCTGCTCCAGCCACTGGGGGACCCAGGAACCAGGGTGTGTGTGTACATCTGTGTTTGTGAGATGGGGATATCTATGGGGTGTGTATGCTGTGCTACAGACACACATGTTTCTCTGATCAGAGGCCCTTGTTTGGGCTGCCTCCACTCACCCGAAAGCATCCCCAGCCAGCCCCACACTGTGCTGGGGTCCCCCCAGGTCCAGCCCTTAGCATGATGGTGTCCTTGGCCCCAGCAGGCCTGAAGTGTCTGCCCAGATTCTGGACTTCTTTTGAAAAGTGGGACAGACTCTGAGAGAGAAGAGAGGAGGGGTCAGAGAGCCTCACCTGTGGTGGGGGAGCAGCACAGGGAGCAGTCCCTGCTGGAGTCAGTCACCTGGCTCTTGATTCCAGGGGGAGGGGTCCAGGTGGGGCAAGAGATCACTGCAGGGGACAGAACAGAGGCTCATTAGGTGAGAGAATGTCTGTGTGTATTAGAGGTGGGGTCTAGGGTCCGGCCAGGTTCCTTCACACTGGGGAGTCCTTTGTTTATTAGGGAATCTGGGTTTGGGCACCAAGCCTGGGAGGCAGTGGCACACGTATGAGTCCAGAGTGTTGATGCAGAAGATGGAGCTGTGACACTGATGCTCCCCAGAGCTGCACTCGTCCACATCTGGGGACACAAAGAGGGGGTCAGGCCCTGCCTGTCCCAGCGGATCAGGCCCCTCTCCTCTTTGTGCCCTGCCCCTTCCTCATGTAAGTGTCTTATACTTGGCCCCTTGGCTGGCGGTGATGACACCTGTTGACTGCAGGTCCCTGTGTGGCAGACCCAGGGACTATGGGAAGTGTGCAGAGGCCTGACATATAGCAGGTGAGCCTAACACAGATATACAAGTTGTGAGGCATCAAAATACCTTCATCTCAGTTAGTAACTGGCTGCTGCCTGGGTCCCCCAGGAGCCTTTTTCTAGAAACCCTAGCTCCTTCTTCAGGATCCCCCAGGCCTTCACCAATTTATCCTCAAAAGAACTAATGCAGGGACAGCAGGGCATGCCCAGCATTCATTCTGCTGGGATTCTGTGGGTGCCACTGAGTATGTAATCAGACCATGTCACTTGTGGCCTTCCGAGTATGTGTGTGATCTGAACTCTGAAATTTCACAGACATTCCAAACTTCTGGAAATGGCCTCTGCAGAGGGTTCTGAGCCCCAGGGTTCACAGAGGCTGGGAGACCAGGTAGGTGCCTGGAACGGCCCGTTGATGCCTGGAGAAAGTGGGGAGAGCAGCCAAGGAAGTGGCCTGGGTCCTGCTCAAAGCAGGCCTCATGGGCCACGACATATGAGTAGACAGGCCCTCAGGTGGGCAAAGGATGGAATGCCGAGGTGGGAAGATGGCCCAGCTGAGCCCGTCACAAAGCTAGGCCTTCAGACGGCAGGTCCCGATCCAAACCAGCAGGCTTCTCTCTCCTTGAGGTCCCACTAGCTCTTGTCTAGCCATGTCTCCACCCAGCAGCTCCAGGCCTTGCTCTCAGCCCTGGCCCCTTTCTCACACAGCAGCACATCTCCTCACACCCCACAACCACCACCTGTGCTGCAGGACTTGCCTCAATCCAGGCACACTGAACACAATCCACGCCCACCATGGGCAGTTGTGCAGGGTGTCACTGCACAAGGGTGTCCGGCCAAGCAGGCAAATGGGGGCTAAAGATCAGCTCACTCTCCACTCCCCAGACACACTCTGTCCATCTTTTTCTAATTGAGGAACCTTTTTCTAATTTCCTCTGCCCTCTGGCCAGGCCACATATTTGGGGCATAACACCCACCCACAGAGGCCCCTGTGGACCAGCAGTGTGGTAGATATAGCTCTCCCACTGGGCTCCAGGCAGGTGTGGGTGCAGGTGCCCCCTTCCCCCCCATCAGGAGGCTCTGCCACCTTTCTTCTGCATGCAGGACCAAGGGGAGGGGGCTGGGACCATGGATTTAGGCTCTTCTCTTCAGCCAGGTGGACCTGCTCAGAGTCAGCTCAGCCTCCTCCTCCCCTCTCTGTATTCTGCACTAATTCCCTCTCTCTGGGAAAGTCCTGGCTTCTGCCTGACCACTACTGGCCCCATCTGCTCCCACAGATGCCTGAAGCCGCTTCCCCATTCACCTCCTCCTCCCAGAAAGGAGGAAGCTCTGCATCCCTTGCTTCAAGCCTGGAAGGGTAAACTAGGCACAGATTCCAGACTCGCAGAGACCTAGTTCCTCTCTATAGGAAGCCACATTTATTCACTTCTCATTTTTCACCTTTGTATCTTTTTCTTTCTCTGTTTTTGATGACAGTCTGAGGACAAAGGCTGAGGCCCCCAACCACCATTCATGTCTCCACCGGGCAAGTCTTCATACCATTACAGGTCTCTGAGGGGTCGGTGACGATCTCCCCAGATGAAGAGATGAATCCCAGAAGGCAGCTACAGGCAGTGGCATTGAAACATGTGGAGTGTGGAGGGCACCAGGGAGCGCAGGCCGTGGAGGCAGAGGCTGTGGGGATGGAGACCACGGTCACAAGATGAGGCTTAGACAGGGGCTGGGGATGAGTGTTGGGAGGGGCAACCCTGAGGTTCCCTCTGCAACCGGCCTTTCTCCTGCCTGGGCTGAGAGGTGCAGGTGAGGGCTGGGACTCTGGCTGTAGACTGAGCTACTCCCAGCAGACTCACCTCTGGTGTTCTGGGGTCAATCTTCCGACAGAACCAGCAAGATACACAGCACTGGAACAGAGAGATGGAGGGTCAGCGAGTGTTAACACATGGCAGTAAGAAGCTAGGGAAATTCCTTGATAAGTGGAATAAGAGAAACTGAGACAAAATAAAATTACAAGGCCAAACAATATGAGCAATTTACAACTGGCTAATAAATCATAAAGTGTTTATCTCCACTAGCCAAGGACACTTAGGGGCAAATGATTTGCTCATTCTAGACCACCCCAGACATACCAGCCTCAGTCCTGGTCCCTCTTCAATGAACTCCTTTGAAAATAAAACTAACTAGAGAGTAATCCCAACCCCTCTATACACACATTTTGATGAATCAACATATTGAAGGACACACCTGAAAAGCGAATACATATTCTGTTAAGAACTTGACCTGACGTACAGCCAAGATGAGGCATAGGTAGATATACTGCCCCTCCTCACACACCAAAAGAAAGACAACAACAAATTTAAAAACAAAAAAACAACCATAACTGACAGAAAATCAAACTGTATAAAAGTACAACAACCAAGGAGTTAAAGAAAAAACATTCATCCGGACCAGTAGGAGGGGCAGAGACAGGCAGCCAGGGCAGAGAGGATGCACACAAGGTGGCAGCTGATAAACTGGCATGGGCCAGGTGGTGATGGGTATACCCAAGAGAGGCAGTGGCTGGCAGGGCAGGAAGTACCATGTTCATGTGAGGATAAACCAGGCGGAACAACTGGGAAGTGAGGCAGATCACTCAACCTAGGGTTCCAATGCAGGGAAATAAATCCTCAGAACCTCTTTTTTCACTTCTTGAAAAAACTTGTGGGAGTTGACACAACAGCAGGAGAAACACCCACCCTGACACAAGAGTGCATGGAGAAGTCCACTGGATCCTAGAATGTACACAAACCCACCCACCTAGAAATCAGAACCAGGAGGGCCCGGTTTGCTTGTGGGTAGCAGAGGAAGTAACTGAAAGCCACTTCCAGCAAGTACATTTTTCCCTCTCTTACCCCTCCCTCACATACAGCACCACAACACAGCCACGTGGGTTGCCCCAGCCTGGTGAATACCTAAAGCTCTGCCCCTTGCTATGTAACAGGCACTCTGAGACAAAAAAAAATATATATGGCCCAAATGAAAGAACAGATCAAAGCTCCAGAAAAATACACCTCAGTGATGAAGAGGTAGTCAATCTACCAGATGCACAGTTCAAAACACTGGTAATCAGGATGCCCACAGAAATGGTTGAGTATGGTCACAAAATAGAGAGTAAAAGTGAAGGCTATAAGAGGTAAAATAAAGAAAAATATACAGGGAACCAACAGTGACAGGAAGGCAACCAAGACTCCAATCAATGGTTTGGAGCAGAAGGAAGAAACTAATATTCAAGCAGAACAGAATGAAGAAACAAGAATTTTAAAAAATGAGGAGAGGCTTAGGAACCTCCAGGACAACTTAAAATGTTCCAACATTCTAACCATAAGGGTGACAAAAGGAGAAGAGGAACAGAAGAAATTGAAAACTTATTTGAAAAAATAATGAAGAACTCCAATCTAGCAAAGGAAATAGAATTCAAGGAAGTCCAGGAAGTTCAGGGAGTCCCAAAGAAGTTGAGCACAAGGAAGTAAACCAATGTACCAAGGCACATCGTAATTACATTACCCAAGATTAAAGAAAAGGAGAGAATCTAAAAGAGAAAAGCAGTTACCTACAAAGGAGTTCCCATAAGACTACCCACTGATTTCTCAAAAGAAACCTTGCAGGCAAGAAAGGGTTGGAAAGAAGTATTCCAAGTCATGAAAAGCAAGGACCTACATTCAAGTTACTCTGTCAAACAAAACTATCACTTAGAATGAAAGGACAGATAAAGTGCTTCCCAGATAAGGTCATGTTAAAAAAGAAGTTCATCACTTCCAAACCATTATTATATCAAATGTTAAAGGGACTTATCTAAGAAAAAAAGATAAAAATATGAACAGTAAAATGACAGCAAACTCACAGCTATCAACGACTGAACCTAAAAACAAAAACAAAAACAAACTAAGCAAACAACTATAATACAACAGAATCACAGAAATGGAGATTGCATGGAGGGTTATCAATGGGACAGGGAGAGAGATGGTGGAAAAGGTATAGGGAATAAGTGGCATAAATGGTAGTACAAATAGACAGGGAAAGGCTAAGAATAGTATGGGAAAAAGAGAAGCCAAAGAACTTATATGTACAACCCATGGACATGAACTAAGGTGTGGGGAGGGAATGCATGTGGGAGGGGTTTACAGGGTAGAGGGGAATAAAGGGGAGGAAATGGGACAACTGGAATAGCATAATCAATAAAATATATTTTTATAAAAAAGAACTTTACCTGCTATCTTCCCTAGGATTTTCACTGGCTCAAGAAAGATAAAAAGTCTCAAGACAAGGACGCACAGCACACTTTTGTTCAAGCATGCCCATGCCTTATATCCCTGTTTTCTTTCTCCTAAAGTCTAAGAGTCCCCCTGAGACTGGCAATCAGGTGATCAGTGAGCAGAAGCACCTTGTCCTGGACTTACCACCCGACCCTGGCACCTGACCAAGGCCCACTTCTCTGAATTTCCAGTGAACTCACAGTAGCCCTACTTTCACTCACTTCTGTCACTGTGATTTTTATTTCTCTGTGAACTCATGCAACACAACTTGGCCCACTTCTATCCTATAACATTTTGAGGTAGCTAAAGCAGCCCTACTTAGGCTCCCCCGTACTGCTGCTTCTGTCCTAAGCTTTCCTTTGTTTCACTGTCCCCCACTTTAATAAAAATAATCTAAAAATCTCCTGGTCTAATGTTGTGAAATGTTTCCTGTGAAGTCTAGAAACCACACACTACTGGTGGGCCTGAGGCAAACCTACCTGGACCCAGTCCCTGGACAGAAATCGTTTGGCAACCCAGATGAGATGTAGATATGTTCTCTCTTCTTTATTCTCTTTCTAATTCATTTTTCCTGTCACTTCTCTTTGTTGGTGGGGGGAAACCTACCTGTCAGCTGCAAAGTAAATTCTTCATCAAAACAAGCCTCATCAATGCTGAAATGGAAAGTAAGTCTGCCCTCTAAACACAGAGTCACCTGCCCACACAACTGCCCTCAGGTGACACCTGAGTGATGGAGTCTGATGAGTCAGGACCCAATCACCTCTGATGTCTGAAGGGACCTCTCCCCTTCCGCTCATACTATAATTCCTGGTGTTCTATCTAAAGCATTTATTACATTATTTTTAAAGGTTTTATTTATTTGTTTTTAGAGAGGGGGAATGGAAGGGGAAAGAGAGGGAGAGAAACATCAATGTGTGGTTGCCACTTGTGTGCCCCCTACTGGGGATAGAGAGACCTGACCCACAACCCAGGCATGTGCCCTGAATGGGAATCAAACCAGCAACCCTTTGGTTCACAGGCCCATGCTCAACCCACTGAGCTATACCAGCCAGAGCTTATTACACCAATTTTAACAACTTCATTTTTATCATGCCACACTTATCTTCCATCACCAGGTTTCTCTCTTGTTTAAACAGCTCTTTGGGATAATATCTATGTAATTCCTTAAGTTGGGGCCAAGACTTTTTTGTTTTCACAGCTTATTCATGGCCTTTGAAGCTTTCATTGAGAGTCTCAACATCTTCCTACTGGCTAATTAAAAATGTAAACAAGAGTTCAAAGATGGTAGAAGGAGTGAGTGCAAGGCACACTAACCTCCTCCCCGGATTACTATGAAATTACAACTAAATTGTGGAGAAGCAAACAACAGAACAATAGCAAGAAAGAAGCCTTATAACCTCAGACAGACAGAAGTATTGGCTTCAGCACAACCTGACTCATAGGAAATGTGATGGAGATGTGAGAGGGGTGGCTGGGCATCCACAGGTGGCAGTTGGAGCACTGGAGGGGTACTTAAGCAGCCAGTTGGATCCCCCTGAGAAGTGTGGGGTCTTCCAAACTATCACTGATGGATATATATGCTAAAATCCTAAACAAAAATATTGGCAAACTACATTCAGCAATACATCAAAAAAATCATACGACTTGACCAAGTGGGATCCCAGGGATGCAAGGATAGTACAATCTTCACAAGTCAATACATGTAATACATCACATAAACAAAAGGAAAGACAAAAATTATATGCTCATATCAATAGGTGTGGAAAAAGCATTTGATAAGGTACAGCACCCATTTATGATAAAAAACACTCAGCAAAGTATGAGTAGAAGGGGCATACCTCCATATAATAAGGCCATATATGAGAAACCTACAGCCAACATCATACTCAATGGGCAAAAACTAAAAGCTTTTTCACTAAAATTAGGGACAGGACAAGCTTTACCACTTTCACCACTTCTTTTCAATATAGTATTGGAAGTTTTAGCCACAGCAATCAGACAAGAAAAGGAAATAAAAGGCATCCAAACCAGAAAGGAGGAAACAAAACTGTTACTGTTTACATATGAAATGATAGGGTACATGGAAAATCTATACACTCTACCCAAAAATTCCTCAACCTAATAAATGAATTTGGCAAAACAGTGGGATACAAAGTCAATATCCAGAAATCAAAGGCATTTTTTATACCAACAATGAAAAAGTGGAAGCAGAAATCGAGGAAAAAACCCCATTTGATACAGGAAAAACAAAAATAAAATATCTGGGAATAAACCTAACTAAGGAGGTAAAAGACCTGTATGGGCTTTCAAGATGGCGATGGAGTAGGATGGAGCAGATACCAGTTCCTAGTACAAAAGGGAGAGAAACCTGTCTGATCAGAGGAGGAGAAACCAGCAAGCCAGCAGTTGCCAAGCATATATGAAAATAAGGGACCAGAAACCTCCAGGGTCATGGAGGAACCAGACAGTAGGGAGACAGCAGTGATACAATAGTCTCGGGGACAGAGCAAAGAGAAATAGTGGGGATCTCCGGCACATGGTTGGGGAACCAGCGCCCAGTGGCGAGAGCCCAACGGCACCTGGGACAGCGTTCAGTGCCCAAACAGCTCCCTCCCTGGGATTTTTCCACTGGGCTGGCCAAGTGGCCCAGGGAAACAGGTGTGGAACGGATTTCAGCCTGCGCACAATTTGGGGGACTAGTCGTCCGGATGCGCAGTGTATCTGGGCAAGTGCCTGAGGGCACCTAGACCAACGTTCTGCGCCCAGGAAGCTCCCTCCCTAGGATTTTTGGGTCGGGACCTGCCAAGAGGCCCAACCAGAGGGGAGCAGAGGAGATTTCAGCCTGAGCACAGTTCTGGGTCCAGCGCCTGGCATGGTGCTGCTCCATCCCTAGGTTTTTTCAGCTGGGGTTGGCCAGGGGACCCAGACAAACACAGGAGCAGAAGAGATACACACCACGCAGCGTGCCATGACGTGCGCACAGAGTTTCTAGGTCGGCGCCCAGTCCTCAGATCGGCTCCCGGCTTCCAGTCCACCCCCCTCAGACTATCTGGAAGCCCCGGGCGCTGAGGGGTCCTGGGGAAAGAGCTGAGACCCTCAACCCCCTCCCTTTCTGGCCAAGCAAGGTGGGGTGCCAGGAGAGATTTGTTTGACAGAGTTTGCGGAGAGGGTGCTGAGGACAAAGGGCCCCAACCAAGGACTCTGTGGGTGCCAGCCCAGGAGAACTGAGAGGTACAGCATGGGGCTCTGAATCCAATAGACACAACAGCCTGGTCTGCTCCACACCCAGCTTGGCAGCAAACCCAAGATTGGGCAGAGGGCCTAGAGCTTCCCCACAGAACAGGGGCAGGTCTGTGCTCAATCCTGAGAGAACCAGGCAACTAGGCCGGTGCAGGTGCCCGCAAACACCGCAAACCAGCCCATGGCAGTAACCCCTGGGAGGGGAGTGCTGTGAGGAAGTCCTACTTCACCATTGTAGGGAGCTGGGGAGAGGCGCCAAGAGTCTGGATCCTGAGAGGGGCTGGCTGAAAAAATCACAACAATCGACCCTCAGCCAACTGCAACCAGAAAAACTGGTTCGGCTA